TAGCGCACCCCAGCCTCAGTCCCCCACCCCAGCCTCCGCTGCCTGCTGGCGGGAGGACTGCCCTGCCCAGACTTCTTCCCCCGAGACCTGTCCCACTTCTGCCGCGCTCACCTCTTCACCCACAGGCCCTGATCAGATCCCCTCCCAGGTCCCTTCCTCCCTAGAGGCTGCTCTCTGGAGAGGGGTTGAGAGGCACCTGAGAGTGTGGGGTTTCTTCTTGACGTCATACTTGCCCCTCCCGTTCCCTGTACCCTCAGAGGTGCTGTGGACATGTCCCCTGGCTGGCTGCTCCTGCCCCTTTCTCCGGTTTTCTTTCCCCTCCTGGCCCAAAGGACTTGTGGGTGAAAATAAAGGGCTAGGCTGGAGTTGTGGGTCTTACACGGGGAGAGAAACAGATTGGCTGATGAGAGGAGTCTGTGGTTGTGTGTTTGTTCCTCACTCTGGCCATCTAGGAGGGCTGTCCTGGGGCGGGTGGGGGGTCGGGGCGGGGGTGGGGGTGGTGGAGGGGATCATTCACATTCCAGTTGGAGCAAGGAGCCTTGCCTGGACACATCCCGCCCTCCTGCCTCACGGATCCCCCCCACAGATCCCCTCCGTGCTCCAATCCCTGAGCTGCCTGCCTCTTGGATGATGCCCAGGCCGGCCAGCTGTTGTGTAGCGGGCACTCACCTGAGGGTGCCCAGGGTCAGGATGGTTCCTCTCTCCTCACAGACCTATGTGCCCACCGTGTTTGAGAATTACACCGCCTGCTTGGAGACTGAGGAACAGAGAGTGGAGCTTAGCCTATGGGACACCTCAGGTAAGACAGTGGGGCCCCAGCTGCCCTGGCCCCCAGCAGTGGCTCTCTTCTAGAAATGGGTTCCTCCTTGGGCCAGGAAGAAAAAATGCGTTCACTGTGTGCCAGGAAATGGAAGAAGGAAGGGGAACCTGAAGATTCCTTGGTCGTTGGGATGAAGGGGGCCGCGGCAGGAGTCCCTCGTTTCTCTGGGTCTCACTCAAGCCTACAGAGGGTTAGGATGGTGAGGTGAATGGGCAGCCAGACAGGGCTTCTCCACCCCCCACTCCCTGTCCCCTAGCAGACAAACTGCACACCTCCCCAGCCTCTGCTGCCCTAGTGCAAAAACCCCCAGGGCAAGGCTGGATAGAGGCGGTGCTGCTGGAGGCCGGCAGTGGGCCAGAGCCAAGCGGGGTTTGGGGGGGAATATCGCTCAGACTTCCTTTCTTTCCTGCATGCCATCTCGGGCCACTGCTGTCTGTCGGCCCGCCCGCCCGCCTGCTGCAGCTCCGCGGCTCGTCATCCCGCTGCGGCTCCGGGATGAAGGGCTGCATCATCCGTGCTTGGGGGTGGGGGAAGACGGCCGCATAGAGGGCACAGCCACGCTGTGGAGTTGTGGATCACGGCATTCGCTGGCAGGGTCCGGGGTTGGCGCCGAGATAGATATATGTGTATTCTTCTGTACGGGCCAGGGTCTCCCAGGAATGTCAAGGGGAGTGTTTTTCCAGCCTCTGAGCCCCAAGCCCTCAGGGCTAGGCTGGCCTTTGCTTTTGAATCAGACCACCCCCCCCTCCCATTCTCTCCGTATCCCTCCCCCTCTTTGAATGGCCCCGGTTGTCAGAATGAAGGGGGAGGGGGAGAAAGAAAAGAACACCCACTCTTCCCCCAGGTGCATCTGCAGGGCGAGCTTAAGGAGAAACTGGACAACCCAGAGGCTCCCTGCTTCCTCTGAGAAACGTGCCACCGGACTCCTCCTGAGAGCCGGGGTGCGCGCCATCCGGTTTTAAGGACCGAAAAGATGAGGGGTAGGGATGGGTGGCGAACATAAATAAGACTTCTCCTTGCTTCCAAGCCCCTGCTCCCCCGCACCAACAAAAACAAAAATTCTTGAACCCGGTGTACTGGGCTCCCTCTGTCTTGCCCGTCGCAGTTCCAGGGGGCAGAGGGGGAGGGCTGGTGAGCCGGGACTGTGCTATTCTGGCTGGATCAGCCGAGGATGCAGCTGGGTTACATGATGTGTGGCTTTCGTCTGCTGTGCCCGGCCCACCTCCTAGCCCTCCCCAACTCTCCCTGCGGCTTCTCGCACTCACCACCACTGAAGCCCCCTGCTGCTGCTCCCTTCC